CGGAATTTCCACTCCACTGGCACTTGCTCTAACCACGAGGTCAGGAAAGCGAAAGCGCTTGGATGTCAGCGGCAGTCCCTCAAGAGTCCAAACCTACCTGATTGTGTATGAGTTATTTTCGTCGACTTCAAGAATACCGTGCCACGAGGCACTTCCTCCAACATGCAAAATGCGAAAAATTACATCCAAAACGGGCCACAACTTTATTAGGAAACGCACGATCGTACGAACTCTTTTGGATACGAACTGCAATTCGTAAAGTTTGTGTGACAACTTCACGTCTACGCGTGTACGAGGCCTAGTGTGAGCACGACTGCCACGTTTCTGCGTTTAAGAACTGCACAAACAGTTTTACGAGCATTGGTTTCACTGCAGTGGAATTCCGTTGAATATTTACATACATCTGTGTCCATCGTGCTAAGCCAGCCCCTGAGGGGCAAAACTGCAAGATTTACTGAATACAAGCAGAGCCCAAAAATGGCAAACCGCCCCCTGCAGCAAAAAAACACAGTTCTGAAAGACCTTACATGCACCATCTCCAAATCAAGTGGTCTCTTTGCTGCAAACTACAATATCTCAATCAAATTTTGGGCCAGGAGCCATCAAATAGGACAGTCGTGTATATGAGAGAGAGCAGAGCACCGCTGTTCGGCAGGATATTCACCTGGTTATGCTCTGGACTCAGAAGCACTACTCAAACACATCCTGTACCAGTACAATGGGCATTCGTAAGTCAGGTGGTGATTCCTAAATCACTGGCGTTTAATACCTTAGGGAAACTTGAGTGATGAAAATTTGCAATTGTTGCTTTCACAAAATCTATAAATAAAACAATTAAAAAAATTAAATTATCGTGTCCGTTCCCGAAGGGAACTCAAGACGGCCGCTAACACCCGATAAACCCTATCTCTAAGATTCTTATTTACTTACAAAGTTACACACTATACACTGTGCCATGACACAGAAGTCCAGTCACTCTCCTAATTGGTGGGTCCTACACACACACACACACACACACACACACATCCACGCATGCCACGCACACGCACACACACACGCACACACATGCCGGCAATGGCCCCTACACTGCTTTCGGCAGCAGCAGTTCCGTCACCGGATCCTGCTTAAACCTCTCGTTGGCACTAGCCAGCCAGTGCTGAACGTAGCGCCACTGATCGTCCTGTGACGCCCCGCGGCTAGGGACAAGCGCAAACAAGTGCCGGTGCAGGAGGAACAAAGCGTTGTACACTGTCTGGTCCTTCACTATCAGATGATTAGCGGCAGCAAGGCGTTTATAAGTCTCACGAAGACGGGCATAGAATTCATAGTGGATATTGCTCTCCGTACTGAAAGCTATGAACGTCCCGATGATGTGATCAGCGTCAATCAGCTTATGCCTGCCCGAGCGCAACCATTGCGACGAATCGGTTGGCGCGTCCGCCCACTTTGACTGGTCGCCACTGGCAAACCCACTGATCACGCCCATCAGGACACGATCTCGCGGCACTGTGTCGAGTCGAGACACTGCCGGCCAGTTTTTGTACGTGTGGCTCGCGTGGCGCAGAGTGCCAATGTCGCTCCACACGAACCAGCGTGAGCAGAAGACGTCCGCTCGCACCGCGCCCATCAGGCTTTCCATCTTCAGCAGCCACACCAGGTACAGCCAATAATTGTGGCCAACTTTGTGTTCAGGGTCCTTGGATTCCTGCGTGCGCAACACTGGGCCAAACTGGCGTGCAAAGTCTGTATGCCTCAGATCCAGAAATCGAACATGAGTCCGCTGTGGCATTAGACGCTGCCGCTCGCGTAAGATTTCGCCAAACTGTGGTACATCGCGTACAGTTTGGCAGTTCGTGTAGACCACTGTCGGCGTGTGCAGCCTCAGCAGGAAGAGTTTCACCCACTCCATGTAGCTGTCCACGCTATGCTTCGAGCGCATACGATAGTACCCCGTCACCAGCGTCACGGCATGTTTGTCGTGGCCGGGCCCGCACCGGCGTTCCCCGCGCTTCTCGTGCACATCTGCCAGACTGCGTTCCAGCCATTCGCACGAACCATCATCACCCTTGCCGCCGTCACCACCGGCCGTGTTCCTCTGCTGCTGCGGCTGCTGCTTCGGTGGCGGCGGACAAGTCACTCCTTTCACCATGTTCACTTCACGATCAGCTTGGTCGCTGCTCTGTTTGATCACGCGTGACGCCGACGTCACGGCTTCACGAACAGCTTCAAGTGTTGGTCGCTGTCCGTGCAATTTCGCCTCGGCTCCTCTGTCATAATCTGCCAGATCGTGACTTTCGCCCGCACCGTCGTGGAAAAGCCTGGCTCCACGCTGACTGCCACCGGGTTTCCGTTCTGCGTTCCACACGAACAAACACAGACCGGTCATGGCCACTACGCCAATGACCATGGTGAGTCGAGATCGCCCATCAAGCAACACCATTCTTCAGCCGCTGGTGGCTTTTTTTCTCTCGTTGCTCGGACTTAGCCTCGGTACCACTCTACGCTTCAAACTTTTTAGAGAAAACCACACAGAGACAGTTGTTCACTTCACTGTGACTTCAGCCAGGGATGCACGACCTTGGCTGCAACGTAATCGTTACTTCCCATGTACATTTGCTGGTACATGGTGTTATCAGGATATTGTAGGCTGCACTGCATGCAGTGCATGCAGTACGTCTGTACGGTGCCCTACTCCACGAGCACTACACACTGACGGTAATACCGGTGCTGCATGCAGTCAGTTCGTTCCTGTTGGGTGTGCACAGCCTGCACTGCAGCATGCGAGTGTAGACCAAGCAGGGAGCTGCGGTCAGTCCGGAGCCATACACTGACTGTACACATACCATAATTGGTACTTTTTTCTTCTTCTTTTTTTACTATTTATTCACAAACCCAACGCGTAAAATAAATAATTATGTGGACAAAAACAACAGCTACTGAGCGGGGGCTGCACTGGGCCATAGGCAGCAGTGATGGTGAGGTACCAGGCCAGGGGCTCCACCGACCAAAGGTCTCGGCTTCAATGCCACAACTAGCACAAGCACGCACCAGGAAAAAGAAACAGAAATGTAAAGCAAAGCTAGATCTAGCTATGACTGGAATGTATGCGTAGGGCTCCCCCAGCCTAGGACCCTAGCCACTGACAGTTCTACTTCACTCCTCTCCACATTCATGATCACGGTGTATGCACATAACATGCACAGTGATAATCGTTCTATTTTTTTTCAGGTGTAGAGATTTTTTCTAATAAAGAGATATTCTGTACGTAGTACTGTAGTAGTAGTATTATTTTGTTAGGGAAATCCCTACAGACGTTGCCGTCTTTTACAAAGCAAGAGTACTTTTGGTTTATGTACTCTTGGTAGTACGGTAGTCTCAGCAGATCCGCGCTTCAAAACTTGTACCCAAAATAATTACCGACCAGGCGTAACCGGTACCCAGTAGTACCCTGTACGCTACCTACGGTGCAATACATGTACCGTAAAGTACCGTTGATCCGCCCCCACGCCATGTCGCTTCCCAGCTGGGTTTTCGGCAGGGGGCGGGAATTAGATCAAGGCTGTCAAGTGCAGTACGATGTACAACAACGTAGAGGATCAGTCTCAATGTGGTGGATTGTGCACATTTTGATCCTGGATTGGCAAGTATTGTGTACAGCAGTGTATGCGTCGGTTCAACATCGTATTTCGTTGTATACGCCGAAGTCGCTTCACA